TGTTTTCGTAAAAAAAAAACAAAAAAAACAGTAAAAAAGACGTATACTTGTTGTGATGCAACAGAAATCCTAATCTTCTTACGAAAGTTCGCTCTCCATGGGCAAACGTAACGTTTTATATTTTTCATTTTTTTTTGTATTTTGTATTTTATTAAACCGCATTGTAACCGTCTTTTTCGGTCCTCCAAATAAATTAACATAGATACAGTAGTAAGATTAATATTTACATGAACACATGCTGTACTTCAATTTAAACAAACAGACAATAAATTATGCATACACAAAAGAACGAACATTAGATTAGTATTTTGATTACATTAATAAAGTTTAACCAAACCAAACTTAACCAAACCTTTAACCAAACCAAATATACTAATAGCCTCATTTATTTCCATCTGAGTGATAATTACACCAACAATATTTATATATGCGGTAGGTAGCATATAATAATAGCGTGTTTCTACTATATACTGTATATTATAGAAGAATTTCTGTTTTTGTTTTAAGCAACAAACATCAAATGGTCGCCAGGTGGAACAAGAACATCAATATTTCGTCCTATGATGTCCTACTGTTTCCCATACATGTCCCTGCCCCAAAGAAATCAGATGGGAAGTCTGCGGGAAGAGGCCATTGGTATCTGGTGGCCGCTTTCATGAGGGAGAAATTAATCAGGAGCTTTGACTCTCTGGGACAGGAATATCCCTCACGACTTCGGCAATGCGTCAATTACATCGAATGGGAGACCTGCCGGATCGGCCATAAAATTGACCGCAGAGAGTTGACCCTGAAAGGGAATCCGGGTGGTTTAGAGCTTCAGTCGAACACCATTGACTGTGGGTTTTTCCTCTGCTATTACGCAAATTGTATCGTCACGTGATTAGATCCCACAACCGTGAAGGCCCCATCTAGCAAGGAGCTTAGAAAATGGGTATCCACTGTACTAAGGAGGGATGGAGTGCGGACCGCTGGTGCCGAGCGAGCGAAACCCGCCGAAGACCTTTTTAATGGACCACCTGCGACTTACACCGAAGGGGAGCTTCAGAGAGGTCTGCAGCTGCAGATGGCGACGATGTTGGAGGATTTGCAAAATGAGATGGTAAACCTCAAAATCGACCCCGACGGAGACGAGGAAGACCCGTTCAAGGACGTCGTAAATATGTACGAAGTCTGTGGTTCAATGGAAGCGGGACATGATTTCGTTGTCGTAGATAAACCCTCATGCTTCGGAGATGGAAGACCAACCTCCCCAGCTTTGTCCATTAACGCGGAGGCTGACTTGTTGGAAGCCATCCTTGACGCCTCTAGTGATCGGGTGAAGACGCCCCGAGATTGATCAGAGACCCAAGAGCTGTTACCAAATGAAGCGCCGGTAAAAGAGCACCCGGAGGCTATCGACCTAGGAAGCCAGGGAGAAACGAGGGGCTCGGAAGGAATACTGCTTACCCTGGTTGTGCAAAGTTGTCTAGGGAGGCCAGACCCGAGCTGCGCCGGCAGGGATGACTCACGACCGAAGCGGGGGTATCCTCTAAGGGACCCGGCGACAGTTTGTGTAAAGCGCTCGGCTGACCAGAAGCCGAGGATGAAAAGGAGGAAGATGTGGGTGACGCTTGGCGATGGGTCGAGGAAACGAGTCAACGTGAAGAGGCTGGGCCTACCCGTGTTCAAGCCATTTGGTTGATCACCGAGACGGGCGAGATGAACTCGAATAGAAGAAAGAAGTTTTGTTTTATTTTATACCCCAGGGGGCTTGTTTATTTACTTTGAGTGTTAAAGAATGAGGTTTAAAGGTCATCGGTCGAAGTTTGGTTCTCTTAATATGCGTACTATTTCCTTGACTGGAACATTGTCCACATCATCGTCGCTTGGCCACTTGAACTTCTTTTCTTCCAAGAATCTTTCCAAGAACTTAACCGCTACAGTTTTTGCATTTCCTTCGCCGTTAATTGACAAATTGTCCCACATAGTTTTTCGGTTCACCGTTAATCATATATGGCACGACTACCCACTGGCTTTGTCTGAGATTGTCTAGATCTAGTTGCAGAGGTGCCTCTTCAACGGGAAATTCTTCTAGGGCGTGCACTCCTTCTAGGTCTTCCTCAACGTCGTCGCCTTCTTCGGACTCGTAATCGGATCTTTTCTTTTTTTTAGTCCTCAATTCGTCCATTTCCTTTCTTGCTTTTTGTCTACCTTCCCGCAATCGTTCCCTTTCCTCCTTCTCATTTTCTGTTCTTAATTTATCTTCTTCTTTTTGCTGATAGACATTTTTCCATTCTGCAGACGTTGCCGTGCTTGGAAATTTCAGTTTTTTTCTGATGGTTTTTGACTTTGGGGGCTTCTGTTCAGGCCAGTAAAGCGCGTCTTTAAATGGTGTCGTAATTTTTGCGTTCATATTTTGCGGGTTCAAGGTCGGTGTTTTTGGGTGAGGATTGATTCGGTGTTTCCGGAGGGATCATTATGGAGTTTTGGTCACACTGCGAATTAGGGGTCTGTGGGAAATTGGCAGGTGAGCTTAGATTTAAAAGAACAGATTGGTTTGATAAGTTGGATAGGTTGAATGAGAGGGGAGAGGGAATATCAATCGGGGAAGAGGTTGTGGGATCAAGATGGGAACATGATGGTTCGGTGTTAAGATATAAATTTGGGTTTGTCGATTGTCCCAACAGTGGATTTTTTTATGCAGGGTTGATTTGTTCTGTGTATTTGCTTTCGACTTTAATTACCGGCACTTCAAGTTCGATAGGGAAACTAATATCTTCATTCACAAGAAAGTCAACAGCCACTTCCGTCCCATCGGCAATTACGTACGCCTCTATAATAATTATATTTTTAAGGGGTTACTTAAGTCCGTACAAAGCGGGAAAGTACTTGGAATACAATTAAAGAGCCGTGATTAAAACATTATTTTGGTGTGAAGTCTCAAAAACGTAGTTCTGGTAAACTTGTTATTTTGGACCGGTTTTACTAAAATGTAATAGAAAACTCAACAACGGACTTTAGCCAACACATCTAGATGAATAATAAGTTTTGATTTCACACCGACACTGTTAATATTTGTAAATTAAACTATTTGTAACACAATTGAAACGCTCATGTTGAAAGTTAAACTCCGTAAATTCGTCACGGAGTTTAGATTCACGCAGTTTATTTCTGCTAAATAAAGTGATCCTAATTTAACTTTTAATAAATTTTTTAATCAACTAAATGAATGCATAAGAGTAGGAAAAGCTATACTTTAGGCCACCAATCAGAGAGCAGCATTTCATCCCCACCCCTCCCCCTAGGCCACGCCCCCTTTTGGTCCCACGTGGTCTAACCTCACTTTTGCGCCAAACAACATAACCTTACTTTCCCGCCAAACGAAAAAAAACACTCTCCTTCCCGCCAAGTAATATAACCTCACTTTTATTTTACCGCCAAACGAAAAAATCACCTTCCCGCCAAGTAATATAACCTCACTTTTATTTTCGCGCCAATTTCTACCAAACGAAAAAAACTTCTTACCTTCCCGCCAAATAACATAACCTCACTTTTATTTTCGCGCCAAACGAAAAAAAACACCTTCCCGCCAAGTAACATAACCTCACTTTTATTTTCGCGCCAAACGAAAAAATCACTTTCCCGCCAAGTGACATAACCTAACTTTCGCGCCAAATGAAAAAAATCTCACCTTACCGCTAAGTAATATAACCTCACTTTTATTATCGCGCCAAACAACGTAACCTTCCCGCCAAGCCTCACTTTACGTATTGCGTAGGTTCCCGCCAACTTATATAACCTCCGTAATGATTAACTCTTGCCAAATGAAATATCCTCCACAAAGCTGTGTTCTGAATAATTACACAGATTGTTTGGTCTAAAATATGTTTTAATGCTACTATATCTACGATTTATATTTACATTATTCTAAAAATATTTACAAACACTAAACTAAACTTCTTCTTCTTCATCATCTTCATGGTTCTGTAACAAAACAAGGAAGTGTTAATGGTGTGTATCCTGGTTGCTGATTGGTTGTAATAAGCTTGTACCTGATTGGTCATAAATAGGTGATCTGTTGTGTGATTGGCCAATTTTTGCTATTTAAACTTTTTAGTACTTATTTTCTTTCACTTTGCTCTTGGCAATTGAACGTGTTGGACGTGTGCTCTTGTGTTTGATGTTTTGAGGTTATGTTTGAAAGTTATTTCTAGTGTTAAATGTTAGTTTGATTATTTACGGTACATCAGTGGTAAGTAAACTTTGTTTCTTTATTGTAACGTATTGTGCAATCGGTGTGCTATATTCAGCTTTGTGTGCGCGCAGCTGTGTCCCCACCACATCTTGTGTCTCTGTGTTGTGGTGTGCAATCGGTGTGCTATATTTAGCTGTGTGCGCGCGCAGGTCGTGTCCCCTCTAGATCTTGTGTCTCCGCGTCTCTTTTACTTTGCTCTAGGCGTTTGACGACGATGGATGTTAGTATGGCTGATAACGTATCTGATGAAGTAGTTGAACCCGTAAAAGTAGTTGAGCCTGTTAATTTGATTAGTACTGATCAAACTTATGTAAATAAATTTAGATTGTATGGGAGTAAAACTGTATTTAAATTCACCAATCCGCCTCCAGAGACTAATGAGATTGATTGGTTGAGACAGGGGTTTGCACAAATTGTAAATAGTATGAAAGAACAAGCTTTTGAAAATGATCAACTTGGGTTTACTTTGGAGAGTCTCAACTTGAAATCAAAAGCACCAGGCTATGTAAATTTTCGCCCGGCTACTGAAATTGATGAAAATGTTTTGTGGCAAATCTTTGGTGGTATTGTGCAATCAAACTCTGAAACTATAAAGTCTACTGACACATTTAAAGTGGAATGTACTAGGATTAACCTTCCTGTAGGTTCTGGGAGAGTAAGGCCGGGGTTTTATAATACTTTTGATGAGGAATGCAAGGCAAGGAAAGGAATTGTTGTCATTAATAATAAAGATAAATTGTGTTTGCCCCGTGCAATTGTAGTGGCTATGGCCAATGTAAGTAAAGATCCTGATTATAATGCAGTTAGGAAGGATAGGGCAAATAGGCAAACAATCAGAGCTCAGGAACTTGTGCGTCGAGCCAGGGTTGAAATGCCAGAGGGTGGAGCAGGGATCCCGGAACTTGAAAAATTTCAAGGGTTTTTAAGGGACTACAAAATTGTTGTGTACAACTATGACAGCAAAGGTCGTGATGTATACTTTGAGGGAAATGTAGAAAATGTAAAATTCACACTAAATTTACTGTTTCACGATGGACACTACAATGTAATTAATAGTTTAACTGCTGCTTTTGTTTGTGCATATTTTTGTGAAGCTTGCCACGTCCCGTATGATCACAAAGGTAAGCACAGATGTTCAAATATTTGCCCACAGTGCCAGACTATTTCACCTCCCTGTGTAGAGGAGTATGGAGGTATTCTGTGCCCAAAATGTAACATGACCTACCGAAACCAGGAATGTTTTATTGCGCATCAAGCTGACAAGTGTAAAAATGTAAAGAAATGTCTCGATTGTGGGAAATTGGTCTGGATTAAAGAACGGTCCAAACCTCATAAATGTGGCGAAGTATACTGCAAACCGTGTGGTTCTTTTGAAGACCCTAACCACAAATGCTATATGAAACCTGACACGAGAAAGCCTAAGTCAAAAGATTTTTTGTTTATTTTCTTTGACTTGGAAACACGTCAAGATGAGTCCCTTCCCTCAAATACTGATGCTAAGGTCCATAAAGTAAACTTGTGTGTATCACAACAGTTTTGCTATCAGTGTATTGAGGCTAAATTTTGTATGGCCTGTAAAAATCGAACAAGAGTCTTTAAATCTGAACCAGTCACTCAGTTCATGGACTATGTGATGCAAGTCCGTAAAAAGTTCAAAGATGTCTGTGTCATTGCACACAATGGGCAGGGCTTTGATTTTCAATTTTTGCTCAAGCATGTGCTGGAGGATACAAAGTTCACTCCGAAACTTGTAATGCGGGGAACTAAGGTCATTTTGATGGAGATTGACAATGTGAGGTTTGTTGATTCACTTAGTTATTTCCCTATGCCTCTAGCTGCCCTGCCCAAGGCCTTTGACCTGCCCCCGGAAAAGAAGAAAGGCTATTTCCCCCACCTCTTTAACACTCTTGAGAATCAAAATTATGTGGGCCCTATGCCGGCAAAGGAGTTTTACTGTCCAGAATCTATGTTTGAAAAATCACACAAAGATTTTGAAAACTGGTATAATGATCAGGTTGCAAACCGCGTTACATTTGACTTTAAGAAAGAAATCCTCGAGTATTGTATCTCGGATGTTGATATCTTGGCTCAAGCCTGTTTAAAGTTCCGTTCAATTTTCCTGGAAGAGTGTAATGTGGACCCGTTTCTCGAGGCTGTAACCATTGCCAGCGCATGCAATTTAGCTTTTCGCAGGAACTTTTTAAAGAAAAATACTATCGGCATCGTTCCTAAAAACGGCTATAGGCTTATAGACGCCCAATCGGCAATTGCGTTACAGTGGCTATCGTGGGAAGAGGGCAAACGTGGAGTTAGAATTGAACACGCTGGCCGTGGGAAAGAAGTTAAGATCAATGGAATGAAAGTTGATGGGTATGATGGTCAAAATATTTATGAATTTCAAGGCTGCTACTTCCATGGCTGCCCTAAATGCTTTCTCTACGACCGTGAACTTGCTTTGAAAGAGGACCCCTCTGACTCACTCTATTTGCGGTATGAACGGACCAAATCGAAAATAGCAAAGTTGGGCGATAACGTTGTACAAATGTGGGAATGTGAATTTAGAAAGTTAAAAAAGACGGAAAACCTTAAACACCTAGAAAAGCTGCCGATCCTCAACAATTTACCTCTGAACCCGAGGCAAGCATTTTTTGGGGGGAGAACCGGGAACGCTAAAACCTATCACAAATGCGCCGAAGGGGAAACCATTGAATACGTGGATGTATGCTCTCTCTATCCCTGGGTATGTAAATATGGCAAGTACCCTGTAGGCCATCCAACGATCTATGTAGGTGATAGAGAGTGTAGACAGAGAGGTCTTCATGTCGAAGGCTTATTAAAGTGTAAAGTACTCCCACCACGCGATCTTTACCATCCTGTGCTCCCGGCCAAAATGAATGACAAGTTAATGTTTGTTTTGTGTGCGACTTGTGGAGATGGTCAGATTCAAAGTGATTGCGACCATGAAAGTGGTGACAGAGCACTAATTGGGACCTGGACCATGGACGAAGTTCGTAAAGCCGTAGAAAAGGGTTATGTTGTACTCAACATGTATGAACTTTGGGAGTATAAGGTAGCCACATATGAAAATGGGGGATTGTTCACTGACTTTATAAATAAATTTTTAAAAATGAAACAGGAAGCATCCGGGTTCCCAGGCTGGTGTGAAACCGATGAGGACAAAAATAAGTACATTGACGATTATTTTAAAAAAGAGGGTGTCCAGCTGGAAAAAGATAAAATTGTAAAGAATGGTGGCTTGAGGTCATTGGCTAAACTGATGTTGAACTCGTTTTGGGGAAAATTTGGTCAGCGTGAAAATCAGACCAAAGCTACAATTGTCAGGGACCCAAAAACACTTTTCAAAATGTTAACTAGCCCCGAAATAGATGTAAATAGAGTACAGATTGTCAATGATGAGGTTCTTGTTGTCAGCTGGGAGTACATTGATGAGGTTGGTGAGCCATTGCAAAATGTTAATGTTGTGGTGGCAGCTTACACTACTGCCCAAGCGAGATTGAAGCTCTATGAGCATCTAGATGCTTTGGGTGGTCAAGTGTTGTATTATGATACTGATTCTGTATTGTATGTATACAAGGGCGGTTTGTATAGAGTTCCCACGGGAGATTATCTAGGGGAAATGACCGATGAGTTGGCTGAGTATGGACCAGGTTCATATATAACAGAGTTTGTATCTGGAGGGCCAAAAACCTATGCATACCTCGTGTGGTCAACAAACAAACAAAAATTGATTCCCGTTTGTAAAGTAAAAGGGCTTACATTAAACATGAAAACTTCTAAAAAGATTGGATTTGACAGTTTGAAAGAGATGGTCCTTGGTGATGCTGCACAAACAATGGACATTGAGGAAAATAGAATCAGACGAACAAAGGATAGGAATATAGTTACAATCAGTGAGGTCAAACAGTTTAAAATTACGGGACCAAAAAGGAAACATAGTAGCAATTATGATACACTTCCATATGGGTTTAAAATTCAAAAAACTCACCAAAATCTCAACTCCTGAATCACTATCACTGTCACTCAACTCCTCCCAGTCCCCAATATCCACCTCGTTCCACCCGTTCCACCCTCCCGGTCCCCAATTGACCCCAAATTCCGAATCTGTGTCTGAATCGTTGTCTTCTTCAATCAAATTCAAAAATTCACATACTCTGCGATATAAATAATGTTGAACAAAATCACTAACGACCAGCATCAGAGAGATCATGTTGGACACTGAACACATGTTGCACATGCTGCACATGTGTTGCGCTCCCCTCTCCACTATCACTACATACCTTTATGGTGGCATATTCTGTGTTTCTTGGTGGTAACGGTGGTGGCCTGAGATCCAAGGGTCGAAGTTCTTCGTAGATTGGCTCCACCGGTCTAAGAAATACCACCCTTGTCTTGACGATAAACGGCGATGGCTCGTCGCGCTTGATAGAGAATATCCAGCCGAAACACGATGCTAAACACATGGTGGCTGGGATCCAACTGGAGTGGGGCTATTTTTGAATGTGTTTGTACATTGAGGCGCTCAAATTTGGAGGGACTTGAGCTACTCCTTGTGCATGTGTGAATGATGGTCACTGGCGCGGCTGACTAAAAAGCCCGTAAACCATGTGTGAAGGTCACTGGCACGGCTGACTAAAAAGCCTGTAAACCATGTATGAAGGTCACTGGCGCGGCCGAAAGGCCCGTAAACCATGTGTGGAGGGGTGAGTGTCATTCCACTTGGAACCTTCTCGCCACCATGTTGTCCCTACTTGAGCTCTCAGCTAGAATAATTACTGATAACATGTTTCTTTTGAGTGCTGTAAAGCAAGCAGCAATCCCACCTGTGATTAAAGATTACATATTCAATTACCACTATGAAAACTGTGGCTATGTCTACTACCATATTTGTTTTCTCGACAATGAAGAGTTTTGTAAGGATTGTGGAGAGGCAGCGAATATTTCTTTTCGACGGTTTGGAACAATTGTATGTGTAGCAAAATTTAAGACTCCAAGAGATAGATGTACCATCTGTGCAGCACGTCTATACAATTGGACCAGATTGAGAAGTTGTTCCTGTCTACAATCCTTGATCCCATCCTTGAGAAGGTGGTAAGAAAAATTTTGGGGAACGGAGACGGCAACTAGTTTGTTTTTGGAGGCCGTCACGAGCTGCGGCGGTGGAGGGGCCGCAGCTTTTCTGGGGGGCAAATAAAAAGACTATTCTATTTGGAACCTTCTTGCCATCATGTTGTCCTTGTCTGAGCTTTCAATTAGGGAAATTTGCACAAATGTTATCCTTTTCCCTTATGTAAAAGAAAGTGTTGATCTTCCATCAACGCTAAGGCAGGACATTTTGAACTGTCATAGAGAAAACTGTGGTTATGTAACCCTAAACTACTACGAGTCTTTTAGAGGCTCTAGTAGGTTATGTATTGACTGTGGAAGAATGGTTGATCTTCCTTCTCGCTTAAAGCGAAGAGGTAACTACATGTATCCAAAGTTTAAAGTCCCCAAAGAAACATGCCGCATTTGCATGAATCCGTTATTTATCTTCCATAAAGTCACTTGTAAATATTGTAAAAACTAAATGTTTGTAAAACAAAAAAAAATAAACGGAGGTGGCAACTAGTTTGTTTTTGGAGGCCATCACGAGCTGCGGCGGTGGAGGGGCCGCAGCATTTATAAAAACTTAATAAATTATCAATACACTGTCAAGTTGTATCATTTAAACAATGGATGTCAGACGTGCTATAGCTGAAGAGCTACACAAACCTGCTAGAAAAAATTACACTAGACGGAAAGTGACTCTTAAAGGGTTGAATAATTTGTACCAGGCCGATCTCGTAGAGATGCAGCCTTATGCAAAGCTAAATAAAGGTAATCGGTACATCATGACTATGATCAATTGTTTTTCAAAACTCGGGTTTGCAGTCCCGTTAAAAGATAAGACAGGTCCGGCAGTTGCCAAGGCACTTGAACCTATTTTGATAAAACATAAGATGAAACACTTTCAAACCGATCAAGGAACCGAATGGTTTAATAAACATATTGGTGCTCTCATGAAAAAGTATAAAATTAACCATTATTCTACGTTTTCTGATTTAAAAGCTAGTATCGTGGAAAGATATAACAGAACTTTGAAACAGTGGATGTGGAAAGAGTTTACCGCAAAGGGTACATATGAATGGTTGTCATTACTTCCTGATATTCTCAAACGATATAATAACTCGGTACATAAAACAATTGGTATGAAACCAAAAGATGTGAAACAAAAGAATGTAAAGGAAATATTAAAAAGGATAAACAAGAAGGGAAAAAGGGTGGCACCAAAATTTAAACTGGGGGATAGTGTTAGGATTAGCAAGTATAAAAGAGTTTTTACTAAAGGCTATCTGCCAAACTGGACAAACGAGGTTTTCACCATTTACGCCATCAAACCGACAAAACCACCTACATATGTACTCAAAGACCATAACGGTGAAATACTAAAGGGAGGGTTTTATGAACAGGAGCTAAATAAATCAAAGACCGGAGATGTATATTTAGTTGAAAGAGTGTTACAGCGGAAAGGAGATAAAATAAAAGTCAGATGGCTTGGTTTTGACAAGAAAAGCGACACGTGGCTTAGTAAAAGCGACATTCTTATTTAGAGCATCCGGTGACGGTTACGTGTAGATCAAGCAGCTGCATCCGGGCGTATTTATAAACGATAGGGTGAGTGTGCTACAATCAGTCGACTACGATGCGTGTGGCGCAGCAGAGTCCCCCTTTGACGGTAAAAAACTATGACGAGTATCTCGGCGAGGGTCTGGCATCTAAAAATAAACATGGCCATCTGCTACCAGACTCAATTCGCGGCATCCTTTCAGGCCCCAGCAACTCGGGTAAAACAAATGTTGTGTTTAATTTATTATTCGATCCAAATGGTCTTGTTTTTGAAAATATCTACATTTTCTGTAAATCCCTGAATCAGCCCAAATACCAGTTTTTACCATTGGCTCTACCTAAGGAAATTGATTATTTTGCATATGGTGACAACAACTTGGTAGTTCATCCAAATAAGGCTAAACAACAATCAATAATGATATTTGACGATATATCCTGTGAGAAACACAACAACATTACAAACTATTTCACTATGGGTAGGCATAACAATATTGACACCTTTTATTTGGGTCAGACGTATAGTGCTATACCAAAGCAGCTTATTAGAGACAACGCAAACCTTTTAATACTATTCAAACAGGATGATATGAATTTACGACATGTATATAGTGACCATGTCACTACCGACATGCCATTTGATAGGTTTAAACAGTTGTGTTCACTGGCGTGGAAAGACAATCATGGGTTCTTAGTTATCGACAAGACTCGGGACACTAATAAAGGAAGATACCGTATAGGATTTGACAGTTTCATTGAGGAGTTATAATGGTTAACATCTACACCTACAACGACCTTAGAGGTTACGATACCAAACTTCATAATGTTAAATCTAATCTTTGCACATATTACTATTCCGATAAGAAAACGTTTTGTGGAAACTACTGTAGCAGAAAAGGACGTCATGGTCACAAGTACAATAGGCGGTGTTGGAGACATAAAGTGCCAAAACAGAGCGCTGTACTACCCCCGGTTATCTTGTTAATGATATCTGCGAGTGAACGTACATACAACCGTGAAATTTGGATTAGATTTTTGGAAAAATGCGAAGAAAAGAAAGTTCCACTTGAACTGGTGGTCTATCATGAAGATATGAACAACTGCACAGTTAGAGAGTCCCATAATATTATTTCGAGATTTAGACCGTTTCCGGATATTTTTGGTAAGGTTTTACCATTGCGCAACCTTCATGGTAGCATAAACTTTACCCAGATTTACCTCCGAATGCTCGAATACGGTTACAATATTCCCCACGCAGCAAGATGTATAGTATTGACTGAACGGACTCTACCAATAAGATCACCTCTGACGATTTATAAAACTGCGATGGCGTCGAAATGCCATATCGATGTGAGTTATAATGTAGCATATGGTCCGGTACCTCCGGATTACCGAGATCTCGTGGTAAACCTTATGCTGGGGTAAACAACTTGTGCCAAGGACTGTTTACAACAGAATTTCTAAAGGCTGCGTTGCCAACTTTACAGCAATATAGCGAAAGTTTTGGAATAAGTTTCAATAATGGTGTGTATACGATAACTGATCGTCAACTGTTTGACCAGTGGCGTGAGTTCACTGGAGCGAATCCAAGTGAATTTTGGTTATTGAACTCGTTTCTGTTACACCACAATGAGATGAAGCGTCCAATGTCTTTTTTGCAGAGGTATATGGAAAAAAGTGACGTTAGTGAGCGGTATACCGTAGCGGAAATACCACAATGGAGAGATAATTGGAAAAGAACGTTTGTTTTTCGAAATTGGTCAAAAAGGTACACTATTCCGCAATTTGATCTAGTGACAAAGAGATACTACCGAGATATAGATATTACCTCGGGCATATCTTTGAAAGAAGTAGTGCACTACCTACGTAAACATAAGAAACGTGCACTATTTTTTCGGCAGATTGAATTGCCTTAAGAGGCTAGCTGTGGTGTTTTAGGCTCATTATCAAAGATGACGCGGAAGAATAAACATCTCACTCTGCAAATAGCAGAGTTGAAAGAAGCAGTTAGGCGTAAATTTAGACAGTTTAAAGATGGTAGTGTGGAGAGTGAAAAACTGTTGGAACAGCAATACAAACCGTTAATTAGAGAACTGAAAAAAGGCGAACCAAAAACAGATGTTAAAATTGAACAGCTTTCTAAAGAAGAGCCAATGGACTATGAGAGTGATGATGATGATTACATTGGTCAACCGTTTAAACCAGAAGCCATATCAACACCTAGAGCTGAAACTAGTCAATTAGAAGAGGTTGTTTCGTCTCCATTAGGCTTTCAAACAGCATCTAAGTACATTGAAGAACAGTTTGAAAACCCGTTAACTAGAAAATACATGACCCAGTTTATACGAGACGCCGGTGGAA